CTGGCAGTATAAAAATCCTGCGTAAAGGTAAGAAACATCGCCAGATATTTTAATACCGATAACCCGCCGGATCCTGCGCAAAGTCCTGCGGGATCCTGCAAGAATTTTGATTATTTTTTTCAGTGGGCACCCACAGATACTCACATAGACATCAACGGACACACACGGACATCCACAGATACCCATGGATACCCACGGACGCCCACATAGACACTCACTGAGAAGCCTAGTTACGTTCAAGTTTTTACTTGCAGTTAACCTTTTACTCATTGGCTATACGGGTGACGCATTGTTCTCCACAAAGACAGTTAGCTATACCAACATCTGCAGGCAACAAACCTAATACGTGATCCGGAAATACAAAAAACGAAAACGCTAACTAATATTTTTTAACCACATATTCTTCCGCCATTTTCAAAGACTACAAAGCAACTATTACATTAGTAGTTTTTCATAAATAACCTATATTCAAAGTTCTAGTCAAGGCTAAATATTCTGGCCATTTTTTTAATACTCATATTTAAGCCCTGTTAAGTTTTTCAAAAACGTTTTTTTATAACATGAAAATCTTTTTAAACGTTAGCATCTAATGTTATTCATAATTTTCTTTTTCTGAATTTCTAACTCTAACTGTGCGTATATATCTCATATTATAAACAGGATAAAAAAAAACATTGAAAATTTCATTGCTGATCCATAAGCAGCAAAAGAGGAATTTTTGCTCATGAATAAAGGGTACAAACTTCAACAAAAATGCGTCACCCATACATCCAATGAGTAAACGGTTAACTACTAGTAAAAACTTTAGCGTAACTGGGCTTCTCAGTGGGTGTCCGTGGGTGTCCGCATGTTTTACTAATACCCAAAAATGGTGAATTTTCGATCGTTCAATGATCAATTTTAAATATGCTATTATTGCTCCATGGGAAATTTCTCAGAGAACTGAGAGACAGCTTATTTTATCGCAGATACTTAACTGTATATACCTTCGGAAAATTTAATTGGCCTGTGACTCGAAAATTACATTTTGACAGATGTACGATTATTTCATAAATATTTTTCTTATTTGTTAAACAATGAATTATATATTCACATGTATATACTTGTACAATCGAAAATAATACTAGATCTTTACCCATTCTGTTACTAACTTTTCTATATGTATTGTTAACATTGACACTAAGTGTACGATATACCCTTCTTAACAAAATTTAGTGTATATGAGTATCAAGTTTGTATATATTCCGTCTATCAAGATTTATGTAAAGTTTAGTAAACGTTTTTATATTGAACGTAAATATTGAATATTAAAAAAAACATAGTATTTGACTTTTCACTCTTTTTATTCACAATATGAGCCCTCAAACGATTACATACTATCGATTCGTTCCTAATTCACTCTCACTTCGTAGTCTCTCGTCATCGATCTCACTTTTAGGAGATAAACATCTGTTCTAGGGTAAGATCAATCATTTTAAATAGGTATTGCAAAATCTAAGAAGTTAAGATAAAGTAAAATGCCTCTTTGACATGATGTCATACACAAAACCGAATGAAAATTAGTTGATTTGAATCACCTTTTCAATCCGTATGAAATTATATATTTGTCATTCTTTTCTAAATTGCTTACGAAGTTTTAAGACAAGATGAAGTTTGACGTCTCATTCATATTTTCGGATAGCGTAAGCTTAGATTATTAAATTTAAGAAAGTCGAGATGTATTTACTGTGTTAATCAACATTTCTCACACTATATCGAAGAATAAAATTCTTTAGCTGCATATTCTCTCTGCCGAGAAAAGTTAGTACTAACAAGAGAAAGAAGCCTGCAGATTAACTAGATATAAGACAGTAAGAGTCATGTGTTATTCGTACGTAAGATCATATTCGATAGTACACAGTCATACGTACGATCTTGTATGATCAGATAGGTCGTACGTATTGTTGCTGTACGAATGCGGACATTACTATTCAAGATCATATCTGCCCATGCACGATCATAGAGTACAACCTTGTCTGATCGTATCTGATCTTGTACGATCCGCTCGTACAATTCTTCAATCTGAGCTACTAAAATAATTGATCAACGCATTTGATTTACTGATACATGAACAACAAGTATATAGTTCAATACCATTGCTTATACAATTTAGCCTTGGTGAGGTGTATGCACCAATATTATCCGATGAATCTTCATTATATCTTGTATATGTTAGAAAAAACGAGATAATTATAAATATAACGAGTGATTTGATAGGAAACGACTACTGCGCGCATACAAGTAGATTATTTTCGAAAGATGAAATCAACAGGTTAGTAGCTATGGGATGTTTCACAACCGAAGTCAAATTGCACCCGATTAATCTGATCCAAACTGAGCTTTTAGCTAGGATTCAAAATTTTATTTATTTTATTCTTATTTATCCTCCTTATGTCATTTATTTACCTGTTCTAGAAGAAAATCCACAGCTGAGGAGAAGGTGAGCGGTTATTTTAATAGTGGTCTATTGAGTCATGATATGTATGATGTTAACTAACAATTTAAAGTATACACACATTTTACCACCGAACTTTACTATTATCTTTGCTTTTTTCTTTTCTTATCATCGACTCGTGTTACACGAGTCTATTTAATAGTCGACTATTTTTTTTTTTCTTCTAGAAAAGGTGAATAAATGACATAAGGAGGATAAATAAGAATAAAATAAATAAAATTTTGAATCCTAGCTAAAAAACTGAGTTTGGATCAGATTAATCGGGTGCAATTTGACTTCGGTTGTGAAACATCCCATAGCTACTAACCTGTTGATTTCATCTTTCGAAAATAATCTACTTGTATGCGCGCAGTAGTCGTTTCCTGTCAAATCACTCGTTATATTGAGTTCTATTTCAATTCTACTAACAGAAGTTCAGCTCTGCTTAACTTGATTGGTCTACTGGCTTTTCTAGATTCAATTCTGTCTCATTGTTGAATTCTGCTGGAAGCGAGATAGAATTCTGAATTTGTAGGAACTCTGCCATCCCTCAAAATATCTATTTACCATTGAGCATTTCACATGCTTGAATAAAATCTTCATCGTCGAGCAATCGATCAATTTCAGGCCAAGAAGAGTTAGGCTTTGATGAAGCCATATGTTCACTTGTCAGAAGATAATCTAAAATGAAAAGAAATGAATTAAAAACGAAAAAACATGTCATTGAACTTGAATACGGTCAACTAAAACCCAATGAATATCAAGTAAGCTCTGACTTCCATTATCAATCTATTCTTTATTTTTTTAAACTAGTTACGTGTTTTCAAAATCTCACTCAAGTCAAATTTGAATAACAAACAACTAAATATGAAGTGGAATTATTAAAATAACGCGTGTTTTACAATCAACCACCAGATTCATTTAATTCACTTCAAGTACCTCCTCCTCCATTATCGCTAGATTTTATTACTGATTATCAATTGAAAAAAGATAATCGCATATTAAGACGAACATTCTATCAAAATAACGTATATTATCTTGGCGATGAAAATGATTTCAAACAAAAAGCCAATGAATATATGAAGAATATTACTTCGTATGGAATGATTGGAACTTTGGATGACAATAATGCACAATAATTACAATCAGCCGAAATGATGACATCGATCGATGTTATTTTAGAAAATTTACATCAAAATAGATGAATAACAAAAGATCATCTGGTGAAGATGCGTGTAAAAAAAATCAAATATCAAATTACCCTATCCCTATTTTTTGCCTCAGTGTAGTCAGGATGGTGATCTATTACTTCAACCGATGATTTCATCATGTCACAATACTCCAATACAATCATTAGCATATTATCTTGATCAATTACTATGACCTTTATATAATAGTTATGCTCAATCTACCACATTATCAAATGGAGCTGATTTTATTCGAAGACTTGTTGATTATGATAAACATGATCTCCTTCCAAAGACACGTTTTGCAACATTAAAAATTAAAAATTTCTATAATATGATTCCACATGATCGTATCATTGAAGCATTAGGTCAATTTTTATCTGATACAATAGTTATTGGTCGAGAACAAAACCTCTCAATTGAAACTATTCAACAATTAACACAATTAGTTTTACGTAATAATGTGTTTACTTACAATGACACTATTTATCGTTATGTAAAAGGAAGTCCACTTAGTTTGCCACTGACTCGAACATTAGGAAATATTTATCTTCGTCAATGGCAAAGATTGTTTGTCAAAGAATTGGCTGACAATAGTGAATTTTATGGAAGGTATCATGATATAGCATTTCTAACATGGAATGCACAGATTGAAAAATTAGAAAAACTTTTCAATGAACTTGATCAACAATATCCAGATATTCGTATTACTACATCGATTGGATTAAATGTTCATTTTCTTGGTGCATACATCGAAAACCAAGGAGAAGGTCATCTGTATACACATGTTCATCATGAACCAACTATACCAGCATATGTACTACTCTATGTCATTGGTCATCCACGATTGATCTATCGTCAGTGGTTTCAATGGGCTCTTATACGTGCTGTTTGTTATTGTTCATCTACGAAAAATTTTGATCAAGAACGATTTTATATCGAATTAACATTTCTTGCCAATGGTTATTCACTTAATTTTGTCAATCTTGCGTTAAACAATTTTTTGCCAATTATTTTGCTGTCACTCTTGAATCTTGTCTTGATGATCGTATCTATAAATCACTTCGTCTTCGATTATTTCGTCTAATTGATCAACAGAAACTTGAATATGAAAAACAACAACTATTAGAATCAAACAATCAATTGATTCATTTACATTATCTCTATGATTGAGGTGAAAGATGTCAATTCAATCAAGAATTCTATAAACTCTGGTCTGATTCGTTCAACCACGAGCCACTATTGGGCAAAACTGAATTTAAAGTTAAACTTAATACCATCCATTGTTATTGTTTAAATGTTCTCTTGACTCAATAAGCACCATATCGTACTGGCATTGGATGACGAAGAGAAACATCAAATGTAAGTCAGTTTAATTCCATATTCTCAAATTTAAATACTTCCTTTTATTTAAAAATCTACCAATGCTTAGCAGTTCTTTATAAAACAATAATATCTTGCTTTCTTTCTGCTTTTTCTTAATGCATGTTCATTATTTATTACACTGATCATTCAATAATCATATTTCTTTGCTGCTAACTGTTCTTCTATTTTTCAGTCTTCTATCAAAAACTGCATAAATACTGTAGATTAAAGACATGCGATCCAACTTTCGTTCCTATGCATTGTTAAACTATTCAAGCCATTAGGTGATCCCGTTTGAGAAAGGACAAAATCCGATCATAGCAGATTCTCTATATTACTCATCCTCGTTTTGTGATTTTTATCGTCTATATCTTTGTTTTTGCCAATCGATCAATCTCATTTTAGAAGAGAACATTTTCAGAGAAATATGGCAACAATGTATTTTAATTCATCTGACGTTACATATTTTCGATTTCTGATTTGATCAAATCGAACACGAATCATTACTGTATTGGACACCATGGACATTGGATACGTCAAACGTTTTATCGATTGTCATTCAACTACTTCATTGACGGTTTTCATCGACAAGGACCCATTCGACATCACTGGTTTGATAATAAAGATTTCTCTATTGATATTATTACTCACGATAATCGGTCTTATCATCTATGTCAAAACAATTCGAGTCTGTGTCAATGATCAACAAAAACAAAGTGGTTGTAGTGACGACCATTATATTAATATTGAGAACATTGATAAACAAAAAGGAATGGTAAGAAAAAAGAAGATCTTATAATATATTACTTTTGTCTGTTTTCATTTAGGTTTATCGTGTCAACAGCAAGAGCTCATGTATACCTTTTTCCACTTTTTGGTCATCGACACGCACGATCTAGTCAGTACTGCTCATATTCGAATATACATGTGTGAGTGTATCTACTACACTGTAAAAAAAAAGTAGTTTTGCTGTTTATTTGTTTTGTCTATCTGTTTGTACACATTTTATATGTTCATATTGATACATTTATTCGACACTTATTGTACGTCTGTTTTAACAGTTTGTTGTTGTAGTTGTGTAGTTTGAACTACTGAATCAAACTATAACAAAGTTGAACATGATGAGGTAATGCAGGATTTGAACTGAGCGCATACGAAAGAATTATCTTCGATATATCACCAAAATCAATTAAACATTTAATGAACATAGTATCGTCTTTAATATAGTTATTATCATCTTCTATGATCATCGGTAATGGAAAAAATTTCGGTATTCCCGAGGCAATATTCATTTCGCTTCTAGGTCGTTGAAAACTATTTGAGTTTATATCTGATCTGAACGAAACAATAATGTGCCGTTGTTGTCCAGATTGATCGTAGAAACAAAATATCACTTTAAAACTAAAAGGCCATTTCACAATCGCATCGAATGAACCACGCATAATAAGAAGAAAGAGTGACATATGTGTTCTACGAGCATTCCCATCTCCGTGTAAATAAAGGCGAAGACGCATTTTGTACACAGTTGGAGACGAGTAGAATGCCGGTGAATAAATCGATGTTTGTCGTTCCAACTGAGGATCAGCCATTTTCTCTGAAACATTAGGAATTTTCCATGTAAGAGTTCCATCATAGCTGATAGATTGTAAATCTTCCACTTTTTGTTTTAAGCTTGCTAATTCTTGTAGTAATGTTTCCTGATTCGGCTCAATACCGGCAATATATGAGTCTGTATCGGTTATTGATAGTTTAACTAAACTTATTTCCGTTTGCCATGCTTGTATTAAATTTTGGTGACGTAACGACTCAGTACTCAAACGAATTAACTTTTCGTTTAATGGCTGAAAATGTTTTGTTGGAGTTGTCAATGTCTCGTAAAGTTGTTGAAGTAGACAGTTTATGGCTGAAATTGTCGATGAGAAAGTAGTGTCGACAGTTGACATTGATGATGATAGATTAAACAGGTTACAAGTGCTATTTGTGATAGCCATATCAGTTCCATTAAAATGTGATTAACCAACACTATCAAGCCAAAAAAGTTTCATGGGTCGCTGTTTAGTCTTTTCTTTCCACTGAAATAGACCAACGAAAGTGATACAGAAATTGTTTTGGATATTTCACTCTAGTCAACTCAGATTAAGTAAAAATGTGAAAATCTTTGAAGAGTCAACAAAAACCACTCCTTACAGTTTTTTCTGTTGTTTCCTAAATACATATCTAGCATTTAGATTTAATTGTTTAGTTTCTGTAGTCGTCTTACTAACATACTTAGTTACATTAACTGAAAAAACCGTTTTCCTGATCTTGGTTCAGTCCACTGTTTAATAGTGGATTTCTCTTGCGGACTTATTTGTTTGCATCGATCATAACCCACACTGGCTATGGTGTACACTGTCTCTAGTGTTTTTCTTCAAAAACTTCTTTTCTTCATCAAAACTCATAGTTTTTTCAAAATCAATAAAACATGCACTATCATTTTCATGATGCTGCGCCAATTCTGAGCCTTTCACACAAAGTGGGCAACCATGTAGCCATTAGCTGAAAAAAACGAAAATGAGATTCTTTTTAGATTTGAATAGTGTCAAATATACCACAATTAATGGTGTATTAGATGGCATAAGAGTCATTAATCTGGTTTTTACATTCAATCAAAAAAAGCATGAAAATGAGGTTGAAACACATTGAGGTTGGTAGATGCAAAGTGTTCTCAAACAAATTATACATGTTCTGAAACTACACTATCGTTTCAGTCAAATTCAAAAAAAGCTTTTGTTTTGCCATTCTGGCATCGCAAAAAATAAATTTTCTATCTCCGTCCGATAAATGCTTTGTGCAAAAACGTGTTCAGTCTAATAAGTGCGCGAACTTCACCAAAATTTCGAAATCGTCGAAACTTTCACATAATATCCTTCTACGTGTGACATATCTCCAAAGGTAGTAAAAAGATGAAAAATAGTTCCTGGCCTGAGTTACAGGTTTTCCAAAACGGCACCGGTTTTTCCGGCAAAATTTTCTGACAAATCATATTTTTCATGATTTTGCCATTCGACAGAGCTCATCGAGTTCTATCTGGTACACTTATTTCCAAAGATGGCACAGTTTTAATAAAAAACTGTAGGCGAAAATATAGAAATCTGCTGCTAACTTCCCTTACCTAGAGATAGCGTGTAAAAAAAGTTCACTGAGTTTTTGAAATTTAGACTTATTTTAGTAACAAACGGAAAGCAGAAATTTTTTTTTTTGGAGTAAGAGAGAGAGAGACAGAGAGAGAAGTCCCCAGTATTAAAAAACTTTTGTGTAGAACTCAAAACCACAAACTTTTTCATTTCGCTTGTAGGCGTCTGAACGTAACAAACTAAATTCGAACTTCAGTCTTGCCAACCTGTAAGAAATTTGAATGAATCCACATCTTAATAATATTTTCATATAAAAACAGACACTACTGCTGCCTACTTACTAAAATAGTTAAAACAACATTTTCGACGTGATTATCGCCATCACTAACCACGTGCACTGTATTCAGCTATTCGAGCAGAAAAGTACCCAGGCAGTCAGCAAGTGTTTACAACCGCCAGATACACGTTCAAGTAATTTGTAGATGGTTGTTGAATTACTTATTTCACGATACTCTAATATGGCAGTAACATAAGAAACTACCATCTAAACGATTATGTATTTTAAATAAAACGAAATTAGCTATTTTCGCTTTACTTATCTTAAGTATTGTTTCCCTATGCTTTATAGTCAGTTCATCTACAACGAGAAAGAAAATGCAGTTTTATCAATATTTCTTCTCGTAAAGTTATTTATCTTGATCTGACGTTTGCTTTCGACAATATCTTTAACTTTTTTATTATTGAACTCTCTAGACATTTCTTTGCTCGTTCGACTCCTTCATCTGTTTTCAATATAGTATGGTGCATATAAGAGGATACATCCCTTTTAACTAATAACTTTTCGTTTTCAAACTAAAACGATATTTAAAAAAAATGAAATCACTTTATCTTAGCACTATATTGAAAGTTACGTACTCTGTAATGTTCACCTAAGGTTTCGAAAAACGACGTTTCAAAAACTTCGACGTATATGAATTTTCTAACATAATTTAAATCTTTTAACAGCTGAATAGTATTTTTAAAATATTGCTATAAATGCAGAAAACGCAATGTTCATAATCCAGTAGTTATCTCTATATCATCAAAATCCATAGAGTATACCTGTCGATATGTGCTCCGCAACATTGGTGACATACTATTTCACGCAATGATTTCTTTAATCTGTCATAGATAGGCATAAATTGAACAATACAATCGCAAAATAGACCATAGACAAAGTTAGTTCCCAAATATTGTTCATCCTGTGTAAAAAGATTTCAGATGTGCACATATCCAGGTATTTTTTATATGTACGCACGTACAATTAAAAACATTTTACCAATATTACTCTACTGTTTTCAATAAGCTCACTCTTATGCTCTGCACGCACTCGACTGCTCCCCGCTCCCAGTCACTATTAGAATGCTATAGATTTCTGCTTGTCTCTAACTTAGCTAATACAGAGTATATCTATACTAACGTAGAATTCTATAGATTTATTTTATTAGCGCAACTCGGACGTTTGATGTCTTAGCTGTGAAATAATTGTCCTGGAATTCATAGGAAAGATGTAGAATTTTGTAGACTGTTTGGAATGTAGGAAATCTGCCATTGCTGAAAAACAAAAGAAATTAAAATGCAAACCTTTATAAGCAAAAACTCATGTGCAATTTCTGCTATTCTTTTTTATATTTTTTCATCGTATTTGTGAGTTAGATGAGTTGCACAAAAGTTCTAATACGAGTTTATAAATACAAAGATAAAGTCACTCAAAAATACATTAATAATTGCAGGTTTTATTTCTTCGTATCACACTCTATCATACTGTTCCTCCATTACATAAAAAGAAATGTAACACAAAACCTAGCATGCTAATCGTCGAGTAGTTGGCACAATAACGCTGTCGAATAATAAAATATGACATTTTTTAAAAATCTTCGTGTTTCAGAGATTGCACTTTCTGATTACTCAGTTTATCGACACGACTGCTCATACGAAAAATGTGGAGAGGCTGTTTTCATTCATCGAGATATAAATTATAAACTAATTGACATATATGATGGTGTCACTACCATTTTGTTGTATTGAATTGCCACAGAGCTCAAATTTGACGTTATATTTGACGCTTAAAAAACGTTATTTGCTATATTCTTTACGTAAGCATATCAATTATTGTTAAAGAAAATTCACAATTTTAGATAAGTCGTTCAATTTTTAAAGAAATACGTCCACCAGATGTCGTGGAATTCATCGTTTGTGACGATAAAAATGAAGATTGCATGTTTTCCAAATATGATAATTGTAAAGATAAATTCAATGTTGAAATTATCTTTACAATTAGCACATTTGGAAAACAACAATCAAAGTATTTTGAAACATTACAGAAAATGTTAGTGAGAAATATTATTTATTACAAGTTGATTATTCGGAAAATTTCTCGATTGTAGAATAAAATGAGATTCAGAACGCTCACTAGTCAAAAAAGCAATTATCACTGTTCACTGCTCACGTTCGTAGCCAGCTAATCATTCAGTCGTTGTCGTCTCTGATAATCCTTCACACAATAAATACACGGTGCCTAAATGCTTGGAACACGTACTCACAACAGATTAATTCAAAGTTTAGAAGAATTAGTAATTTTCAGCGATGGAAGCGCAAGTCAGTTCAAACAACGATTTCTCTTTAAAAATCTCTCGCTGTTAGCAAAGAATTTTAATATTTTATTGTCTTGGCATTTATTTGCTACGAGTCATGAAAAGGTCATGAATAAGATAGGAAAAAAGCTAAAAATATCTATTAGGCTCGCAAAGTAAACCTCATAACTTGAATATAGCCGCTTCGGATAAGTGCAAGTTGAAGGTGATAGACTTCTTTCCCAGATGTGGTGGACGGTATTGAAGGTACGGCGAAAAGAATGATGTTTGAAGATGTGATGGTTGGAAAGAAAGATAAAGATGCCAGTGATTTTGTTCGTTTAATTGAAGATAAAAATACATCGATATTGACTGACGAATTATTAAATAGTGAAGTTGAAGCTGCGGAACAACTGCGACAGTCGTTGTCTGAGAACGTTAAACCTGTGCCAAGTATTCAAAAAGTGCATTCAATGACCGTATTAGACGTTAACAAGATCGAATGCAGTGTTTATTCAAACAGTGATAAGAAAACAACAGTTTATGTTTGAATTACTTAGTTTCTTTCCTTTTTTTGTTAGGCGTGTTAACAGTGATTTGTATACGCTCTACATGTGGTATTGATAATAAATCAAAAGAATCATGAGAAATTAGATTGTAGAGGAGAAAGAGTCAAAATAAACAAAAATCCTGAATTAAAAAAGTTTAAGTTTCCAAGCTAAAAGATCTCTTGCCTGAAAAGTTACAAAAAAGTTGGAATTTCGTAACATTTTGGCATTTTTTCGTGATCTTGTGAACGAATTTAAAAACCGGTTAAAGATTCTGAAAGCTGGTCGAAATCTACACATTTCTTAATATAGCGCTTTATTTCGTAGAGAAAGCGTAACGTTTCGACATATCTTAGAAAACATCCCATTTTTGGGAATTGCATATCGGCTATTATTTTTTTTAACTCTTGAGCAAATGATCCAGAACCGGCTGAAATTTTTGTAAGAAGTAGAACTCCATGTCTTCTATCGATGGTAAAAATTTCAAAACTTTATACTTTATCGGTTGGAAGGTATGATTCATGGAAGACAAAAAAAGGGAATTCTGTAACATTTGGCCATGACGATTAGCAGCTCATATTTTTAACCTGATTCCGAATATGATATTTTGCTTGCATAAAAGTTGGGTTCTGATAAAGAAAATTGAGAATTACGGGCAGAATTGCGAATTTTTCTTATCCTATTTGGAAAACAGAACTTTTGAAAGAAGAGCCATACACCCAAATCCTTTTGGGGTTATCACTAAGCCACTTTAGTATCTATCGGCAAAAGGTCGTTGAAATTGGAGTTGGCGATGGTCCCTCGTCAGTATTATTTATCAGCTGTTTCAACATCCGCTATTTTCTCTATTTCCTTTCATTTAAATCACTTGCACTTACTCAACAAAATTTTATTCTTTTTACTAGAATGTATGCTTGAAACAAGAAAGAAGATTTATCCAAGTCGATTCGAACATTGACCAGCTGATTCATGTTGTGTATGAATGAGTACGTAATGCTCGTTTAAAAGAAGTAATTATTTGACAAGATATAATAGTTCGTGGCAGGAAACTCTAGTCAACAGCAGTACTGTAGAAAAAAGAGGAAACTACATGTTCTTTCGATACTGTCAGTGTTTCAACCAGCATACTATTCTGACGGTTACTATTCAAACGCTCTGGTCTTTTAACTGTTAATGGTTTTCTAAAGGTGGATCGACAAGGGAAAGAGATGAGAATGGATTTTTGACTTCGAAAAAGTGTAATACCCGAAATATTTCCTCTGTGCCGATAAATCTGGCAGCTTTAATTTGCTGGTCAAAGAGACTACCGAACCATTGATTGTTCCTTCTGCCGAACAACTGGCGGTGCCCAGTTTGCCATCCACACAGCATGGGCCTGGATGCACCGGTGTATTCATCCGGCATACAGCACTTTATCGTAACGGTTGTTTGTACCATCACAAGCCAACAATGCCTCAGGTGAATATGTAAATATTTTTGTCTGAAGGACAACGTCAAATTATTTATAAATGTTCGAAATAAAAACGTTTAGATGCAGGTGATTCAGTAAGTTTACCATATGATAAGAGTAAAGAAGAGAAGGGTCTTTTGATTGATGGCTACGTTGTCCTGGCATCACAGCACCAGCAAACGCCTCATATGAAATGCTTGCGATGTTCTATCCAACTAATTAAACAGTATCAGTAATACTGTATTGTGATGTAACATAACGACCGATTCATCGCAATGAGTGGTCTTATCTCGTCATATGTTAAGTTTATCGCGACAACGCTGTATGTCCATGGGATATCGGAGTTTTCATTATAAAAGCTTTCGTTAAAAGGAAGTTTATTAAAATTTTTAATGAAGTTTTTGTGGCATCAAAAGCTCTAGCTCACAGTTACTGTGCAGGAGACATTTTAATGAAAGTACCGACACTTTCATTAAAAAAAGACGCTTTAATCAACGCCTTTTTAATGAACGTCACCCAATCCGTGTG